AGAGTATTACTATTATAGTGTGGATTGCAAGCTCTTTATGCAAGAATCCATGGAATGCTGTCCAGGAAGAAGGAGGGTCTGGGAGGGAGGGTCTGCTGGAGATTGGCCGGGACGTGTCAGCTGACCGGAGTTCGCCGCACACAGCTCGTGGCGAACCGTGGCGAACCGTTCGCGAGAAGTTCGCGGACGGTTCGCGACATCTCTAGTGCTGTATAACCACTAAATTTATATTGTTTATTTTTTGGTGGCTGACTCAGTGGCCATGCATGTGGATGCATTACTAGCTCTGACTCCCTAACATACGATAGAAGTCAATACTTCCCAGTTGGTCTAAAAGGCTCGTTTACTAAAAACAAGCAAAATTCCACCATCAGTACCAAGCCACCTTCCCAACAACATGTGGTACCCCACCATCAGTACCAAGCCACCTTCCTAACAACATGCGTTACCCCACAATCAGTACCAAGCCACCTTCCCAACAACATGCGTTACCCCACAATCAGTACCAAGCCACCTTCCCAACAACATGTGTTACCCCACCATCAGTACCAAGCCACCTTCCCAACAACATGTGTTACCCCGCCATCAGTACCAAGCCACCTTCCCAACAACATGTGTTACCCCACCATCAGTACCAAGCCACCTTCCTAACAACATGCAGTACCCCACCATCAGTACCAAGCCACCTTCCCAACAACATGTGTTACCCCACCATCAGTACCAAGCCACCTTCCTAACAACATGTGTTACCCCACCATCAGTACCAAGCCACCTTCCTAACAACATGCAGTACCCCACCATCAGTACCAAGCCACCTTCCCAACAACATGAGTTACCCCACCATCAGTACCAAGCCACCTTCCCAACAACATGTGTTACCCCACCATCAGTACCAAGCCACCTTCCTAACAACATGTGTTACCCCACCATCAGTACCAAGCCACCTTCCTAACAACATGCAGTACCCCACCATCAGTACCAAGCCACCTTCCCAACAACATGAGTTACCCCACCATCAGTACCAAGCCACCTTCCAACAACATGCGTTACCCCACCATCAGTACCAAGCCACCTTCCTAACAACATGCGTTACCCCACCACCAGTACCAAGCCACCTTTCCAACAACATGTGTTACCCCGCCATCAGTACCAAGCCACCTTCCAAACAACATGTGTTACCCCACCATCAGTACCAAGCCACCTTCCCAACAACATGTGTTACCCCGCCATCAGTACCAAGCCACCTTCCCAACAACATGCGTTACCCCACCATCAGTACCAAGTCACCTTCCCAACAACATGAGTTACCCCACCATCAGTACCAAGCCACCTTTCTAACAACATGCGGTATACCATCATCAGTAACAAGCCACCTTCCTAACAACATGTGGTACCCCGCCATCAGTACCAAGCCACCTTTCTAACAACATGCGGTACCGCATCATCAGTACCATTTTTTATTGAAAATCTTTATTTATTGTTACATATTTTCCAGTAAAGAAACAATGAAAGACATAAAAAGGCAGAACAATAGTAAAGTCAGCAAGAGTTAGACCTAATAAACGACATACTATCAAATTAATATATAACAGTAGCCAGTATTCACTATATCACCAGGTAATCACAGACGTTCCGCATATGAGTCTCTAAGTTGTGACTTAGATAACTACAGAGAGGTTGGGTTGATATTAGTAGAATCAACGTAACAAACAGTCTCCCCAATTAGCGTATGGCTCAGGGCTCGAGTCCTGCAGGAACGCATGGGAACGGCGTTCCTGCACTTTTTCCATAGCAGGAACGCCGTTCCCGTTACCTGTCCTGCAGGACCGGCCCTGCTACCTGCACAGAGCAGCCAGCACACGCTGTGTTCCCCCTCCAGCTATTACTCTCGCGAGACCCACGGCTGTTACCATGGCAACGCTCCGCACAGGCGAGTCTCGCGAGAGTTAGAGCTGGAGAGGGAACACTGCGTGTGATGGCTCCTCTGTGCAGCGGCTGGCTCCCTCCAGCATGCCACCGGACCACCAGGCGATCTCCCCCCTCCCTGCTTCTTACCTTCTTACCTTGTCAATAAATACAAATTATACATAAAGTAAAAAAATCCAGCACTCACTCACATACCCATCATCCAGCACTCACACACCCATCATCCAGCACTCACTCACACACCCATCATCCAGCACTCACACACACACCCATCATCCAGCACTCACTCACACACCCATCATCCAGCACTCACTCACATACCCATCATCCAGCACTCACACACCCATCATCCAGCACTCACTCACACACCCATCATCCAGCACTCACTCACACACCCATCATCTAGCACTCACTCACACACCCATCATCTAGCACTCACTCACACACCCATCATCCAGCACTCACTCACACACCCATCATCCAGCACTCACTCACACACCCATCATCCAGCACACACACACACACACATCATCCAGCACTCACACATCATCAGGCACTCACACACACATCATCCAGCACACCCATCATCCAGAACTCACAAACCCATCATCCAGCACTCACACACCCATCATCCAGCACTCACACACACATCATCCAGCACTCACACACACACATCATCTAGCACACCCATCATCCAGCACTCACACACATCATCCAGCACTCACACACCCATCATCCAGCACACACACACATCATCTAGCACACCCATCATCCAGCACTCACACACCCATCATCCAGCACACACACACACCCATCATCCAGCACACACACACACCCATCATCCAGCACACACACACACATCATCCAGCACTCACACACACAGCATCCAGCACACACACATCATCCAGCACACACACACACA